ACTTGAAAAGTTATGTGGAAGCAAAAGAATATTTCGAGAATCTAAATTAAGAATATTTCGAGGATCTAAATTAAGGAGGATATTTCGAGAAATAGGATTAAGAAGTAAGAAGTATTGGATGCAAAAGAATAATTCGAGAATTAGGTATAAGACGGGAAAAAAAATTTTGTATGTTATATTAGAATTTGTTATGTAAGATTCAATTTGAAAACGCGTTAATTTTATACTCATCAGATCAAAATATCTATACGTATTAGAGCTATATAAAATTATACAATTTTGTTAGGTTTTATACACTTTATGTTCAAAGGAAAACAATATTGTACAATTTCTGTGCTAAGATGTGAAACTAAAAATTTTGAATTATTGACACGTGTACAAAAATATACAATACTATTAATTTATATAGGTCTTAATTACGAGAATCTTATTTTTGAGAATATATACTGTAGGCTATCTAGATTAAAATTTTGAAATAAGTTTATAGTAGTCAAACTAAAATACTAAAGATATGATATAAGTTGATAATCAAAGAAGATATAGAAGAAGTGATATTGGTGAAATGAACGGAACCCAAATTTTTATAACCAAATCATGTGATTTATTTTAACTCTATATAGTAAATATTTATTTTACGTATTGATTATTCACGCTAATCCATTTCAAATTAATTTTAAGAATAAATTTGTTAAAATCTTACTGACGTTTGTTTCACTAATATTCAATTCACCGATAAAGTTTATTCCACTAACAATTATTCAAGTCATTTCACTGACAAAGTAATTCTAGTCATTGTCGAGTTAAAGCTAGTGCAATTTTTAAAAAAACTTTATCAGTGAGATAAGTTGTCGGTGAAATAATTAAACTTGCGGTAAATTGATTGTCAGTAGGTAGGGATGGATCAGTCCTGGAAAGACCGAATAAGGACCGGCCTTTTTAACCGGTCCCATGGTTATTCGGTCCACGGTCTTGAGACCGGTCCCGGGCCGGTCTATAATAGAAGCAGGGGTTTTTTTTTATTGTACTGTACCCGGTAAACTAGAACTTTAATACTACCGGTAGTTATGTATTTTTATTTAAAAAATAAAGATTTTTTTTTTTATTGTATTATATCCGACAAACTGGAACTTATAGTTTTTTGGGGAATTTACAGATAAGGGCCCAAAAATGAAAATAATTACAAATAAGGGCCCAAAATGAAAATAATTACAGATAAAGTCCCAATATTTGAAAATTATTACAAATAAGGGCCCAAATATACCGTCAAAATTGTTAGCTGATAAATTGCCTCATTTCGTGATTAAATAAGTGTTTTAGAGTTATTATTCATTATTCAGAATTAAAAAGAAAACAAAAATCCGACCAACCAAACGAATTTTTGAGCAAAACGAAAAAATTAACTTTGTGCGACCTAATTAATCACTTTACTTCTTAAACTACCATATATGGTGTCTCGGTCCTTACTTCAAAATGAATACGATTTATAATATCACGAGGTCGAAGTACTTCTTTAATTAACGGCACAGTAAACTTTACAAGATATGATCCACGTGCTTTGAATGCTTCCATAGAAGTTAAAAAAG